CACAGTGTTGGGAAGTGGGGCCTAATGGATAAGAGTTTAGGTCATGAAGATGCTGGCCTCATGAAAACATCAATGCCATTTTAAGGGCTTTCAGGAATGAGTTCTGTCTCTTGTCCTTCAACCTTCCACGATGTGAGGATGCAGCAAGTAAGTCCTCAACATACCAGATGCCTGTGCCTCCATCATGGACTTCCCAGCCTTCAGAGCTGTGAGAGAATAAACTTCTGATCTCTATAAATTAGCCAGTCACAAGTATCCTGCTATATCAGCCCCAAACAGAATAAAAGTGGAAGATGATTGGTTTCACTTTGAACAGGTGAAGTGTGAGGCACTCATAGTACATTTGAGGAGAGAGTGAAGTCAAGAGATGGGTTGGATGTACAGGTCCATGTTCCTGTAGAGAAATGAGCTGGAAACATATGCATGAAATCATTATCCTAAAGACAGTAATTGAAGCCAGACTAAATTGTCCATGAGTACAGAAGAGAAGAGGATCCGGGATAGTATCTAAAAGAATGCTGCCATTCTTTTCTAAAAGAATGACCCATGGAGGAGACTAGGAAGGAAGCTGTCAAACATCTGGAAAGGTAAAAAGAAAACCATAGAACATGGTATCCTCAATGCTAAGAGGGTAACTTTCATAAAAGAGGTGAGTAACCAATAACAACATGCACCAGAGGGGCTGAGACCTGCAGAAGACTCTTGGGTTTGGCAATAGGGCTTCCCTCAAAGCAGGCAGTTTCAGGGAATGGATGGGGGTAGAAGCCCAATCTCTCCTTGGGCCTGCCATTCTGTTGGTTTGTTTGTTTATTTGTCTGTGACAGGGTCCCACTGTGTATTTCAGGCTGGCCTTGAACTCATGGTGATGCTCCTGCCTCAGTCTCCCAAGACTGGAATTACAGTCACGTGTCACCATGCTCAGCTTCCTGCCACCTTTAAAAAAGATTTTTTGTGACTCAGAGTACAGAGAAAAGTGAGACTGGCAAATAACAATATAGAATGTGGTAGTTTTTTTAAAAAAGAGTGATGATAGGGGCCGGGGATGTTCCTTGTTCCTTGTACTTGAGGTCCTTAGAGTCTTAGATCGTATATTTATAAATCATCCAAACAACAAATTTCTAAAGCAAACTCTCTAAAAGAGAACAAGGAATTATAGAAAGCAAGTGCCAGACAGGTAAAGGTTATCAAAATTCTCATCCTTTAAGGCTCAAAAGGTCTCTTTCCTCAAGATTCCTCTTTGTTGGGCAATAACTTCTGAAATTAAATTAGCCTGTCTTCCAGTTGAAACTGGTTAGTATCTACCACAGGGCAACCTTTATTGAGAGTCCAAGTGTCTTTTCCTTGTTCTGTCTTTTGTTGCACTCACTGTGCATCCTGTGGATTTCAAAGTCAAGTTTTGTTTTTGGAATTCCAGGCCATGTCTTCACCTGAAAGAATAAGGAAGGAGACGTATGGAACTGCCCAGTAACACAGTCCAGATTAGCTACCCGTAATGGATGTGGCATTGTGGAAAGAAGGGTTGCTCTCAGTCTGTTGATGAATGCAGCCTCGTTTTATATGTCTCTCCCTAAATGAAATTAAACACTTATACATTCTTCCAAGCCTTACCTGGGGAGGGGGTGTCAATGAGGATATTCATAGTTAAAGTAGCAAATTCCATAAGGTATGATGCAGGAAAGTGCTGATCTGGGAGTCCAGAGATCTACCCTAACTCCAGGTATCTCTATTTCCAACTAGCTAGCTTCCCTCTGGTCCTCAGTTTTCAGAACAGTTATTGAACTGCTCAATACCTAAAGTTTATAGCTCTCTATAAATTATAAACAAAGGTTCCTATAATTTTATATTGGATTTATTTTCTAATCATGAGTCATCAGTCAATTTCTGGCCTTGTAAATACAAATTATTCCCTAATGGTGGAAATTAAAGCACTTAATTCTCTTATGAGTAGGTTGTACACTCTGAATGCTTATGTACAATATTATCTGGGAAGCTGAGGCAAAGGAAATGGCTCCAAAATCTCTCCTGGGATCTAAATGGAAAATAAGACAGGTTATGACATCAGCTGCCATTTTCTCTGTGTACAGACCAAGTAATACAAATATCAGTATTAAATTATGTATGCATACTTTTTCCTTTTTTGCCTTTCATGGTAAATCACAGTGAATCCCTTGCTCTTAGGTTCAAGGTTATGTAGAAAGAACAGAAATGATAGTCATAAAATTACAACATTTGACATCTTTAGGTGACTTTAAAAGATTAGACTCAAAGCTCTCCTCCTCCCAGTAAAGGCGGGGTGGGGGGGAAGAAAGGGACGTGTAAAATACGAAGTGGCTCTATCCAATGTTGACTTCCTGAAACATATTTTCTCAATTTCCCTCACCTAAACCCACTGTAATTAGAAATACAGCCAAACAATGTGCCAAATAAATAAACAAGCACTTTTTAAAGCCAAGAAAAGGAGCCTAACCTTGTTTAATGAGTTTCCCCTATTACAACTAAAGGAGCCATGAAAGAGGAATACATTTCTGAGCCACAAACAGTTCATGCCCTCTAGTCTATACCTAGAACACATTCCTTACTCTGGGACACAGCTGTTCCATATTTCTATCCATTATCTTCCTGTCTGTAAAGGTTGGCAAGCACCAGAGCTTTCCAGGAATTGTTGTAAGAATGCTGATTTTTTAATTTAACATCAGACAGGTTAAGTTAAAAACCTGTTTTTCTTACCACAAAACACAATCTGACTAATATCTTCCTTCTTTAGTTCCTTGTGAATTCAGGCAAGCTACACCAAAGCATCTCAATAAAGAAAATAATATGGTAATTCCATATGTGAACTACTTAAAACTAGATAAACTAAATCTAAATTATTGAAATCATACAAGAACCCATTCCTTCCCAATCTATTTTGCCTCACTTTTCAGATGGATGAGATTTGCCTCATTGTTTGAGTTCTTCCCAACATGGTAAATGCACATACTGTCTTGCTATCTGATCACATTTTGTGATACTGTGATAACCACACACTCCAAATCATTATGTCGTAGGCAACACAAAATTTAAAATACATAAACCGGGCTGGAGATTTAGCTCAGTGTCCCTTTACCTGCCTAGCAAGCATAAGGTTCTGAGTTCAATCCCAGTACCTAAATAAATAAAATAAATTATTAGCAGGCCAGGGGGTTTAGCTCAGTGGTGCTGTGACTGCCTTGCAAGCACAAGGTCCTGAGTTCAATCCTGGTACCTAACAAACAATTAGAACTGGAAGGAACCTTCAGTCTAGTCATACGCCCTTTTTGTACAGAAGTGAAACTGCAGTGGAGACTTGTCCTTCATCACCTGGACAGTGAGTGGCAGAGGCAGATCTAGGGACTATGTCTCCAATGTCCCTGTTCAGCTTCTTTCCACAGCTCCTGCTGCTTTCCAGCATTACTGAAGGTTTTCTAAACACTCACAAATGGCTGGACAGAGGCTATTCCTTGGGAGGAGTCCCCTCCCATTCTCTGCTATTCCACTGCATGAATTATAGATGCAAAATGTTACTAAAGCTTGAATACAAAGATGAGTTCCTTTTCTCACCCCAGTGTCTTACACTGTATCAGTTGGGAAGGTAGGTTGCAATGCTTACAGATATCAGTTGTTTCCATAATAAATTATTATTCTAATTTATCCAAAACTCATTATTGCTATGCACTATGCTTTCAAGAAGGAATTTTCTAATTCTAATTATGTGAGCAATTGAATTATCTGGCTCATATCTGAGAATTATATATGGCTAGTTGTCATTCATAACTTGGGGCAGCAGCCTATTACTGCTTTGATTATTCTGTGACAGAAAAATTGATTGCCCTGAACTCTTGCCTTCTGATGCCACGGATGTCTGTCCATACAAGTACTGTTAGGGATCAATGCGGCAGTAGGGTACAGGGGAAAGAGGATACAGCTAGACAATACACTTATCCACATTAGAATCCTGCCCTACACATAGAATGACTAATAAATTTCTGAGACTTTCTCTTCCCATCTGTAAAATGTTTTTCAGATTTGAACTTGCTTTACACATGTTCTATTGGTATGCCTAATTTATACTTGTAAGGACCAACTAGCTATAGAAATGTGAATACAGGGCTGGGGATTTAGCTCAGTGGCTCTGTCTGCCTCGCAAGCACAAGGTCCCAAATTCGATCCCCGGTACCAAAAAAAAAGTGAATACAGCAATAATGTGGAAAATGTTAATCAAAACCAAAACCAAAAACAGCAACAACAACAAAAAAAAACTAGGGCCAGGGATTTAGCTCAGTAGTTCCGCCGCCTGCCTCCCTAGAGCAAGGACCCGAATTTGATACCCGGTACCAAAACAACTACAACAACAAAACTCTCGTTTCACAGTTTTAAGTAGGTAAGAATCCTGCCGCTGCCTGCTTCCCAAGTGTAAGGTCCCGAGTTCAGTCCCCGGTACCAAAAAAAAAGGCATTTATTAGTTGTGTGATCTTAGGCAAATTTCACCATCTTTGCCTTTTTGTTTTCATTTATCACGGAAAATCTCAAACATACTCAAGATGCAAAGACTAGAATAATTAACTAAAATGATATACTAATCACCAGCGTGTTTTCAATAATTTGCAAATATTGTTTCATTTCTCTTCAATACTTTTTCCTGGTTGAGAAAAAGTATATCTGGCAAGTTGTTTTAAAGATCTCTGTACTTCAACTTTCTAATGTAGGAAATGATAATATGTAATTTATGGAGAACCGTATTGAGTATTCAATAAATGTTAGCCGTTATTATATTGGGTGGTACCTATGAGCATAGTCCCCTACTGGGAGGGGTAAAACCATTTAATAATGTTGTGCCCCCAGCTCAAGACAGAAATCATCAAGAGTACCGCGCCTCGGTGGCAAGATCGTGGCCGCCCCCTTCAGGTCGCTCTTCAGATCCCCGGGCGGGATGAGAATTGTCCCTCGCACGCTCCCGTCTAGGTGCTCGGAAGGGGCAGGAACAGGAAGTGGGGGATTAGGCGGAGATCCGGGTGTGATTCGGAGCCTGAAGCTCCGAGAGCTAAGCGCAGCGGCTGGAAGGGGTTGCTGCGGAGCGGAGATGTTCCGGATCGAGGGCCTCGCGCCGAAGCTGGACCCTGAAGAGATGAAGCGGAAGATGCGCGAGGATGTGATTTCCTCCGTACGGAACTTCCTCATCTACGTGGCCCTGCTGCGAGTCAGTGAGTGTCCTGAGCTGTGACCATGAGACCATTTCGTCGACACTGCCCACCCATCTTCGTTCTACGCGCGGCTGTGGGGTCTTTAGGAGCTGACCTAAGCCGAGTGAGCATTGGCGGAGAGAGGCAAAAAGCGCGTCGAGGGCGACGGTAGCAGTCTAGGGTCAAGGTGGAGATAACGAAGTGCACGTGGTGGCCTAGCACGCGTGGTTAAGTCATTCTGGTTCACCTAAGCTTCAGAGTTTATTCCTAAAGCAAGTCCTTTTTTGCAGACTGAAAAAAGGCACCAAAATAGGAAAATGGCTGGCCCAAGGTCATTGAGCGACCAGTGAATGAACTTGACCTAGAATCCAAAGCTGTTTTTTGTTTTTGTTTTTGTTTTTTGAGACAGGGTCTCGCTATGTAGTTGGGACTGACCTGGAACTCGCTATGTAGCCCAGGCTGGTCTCGAACTCACAGCGATCCTCCTGCCTCAGCCTCCCGACTGCTGGGATTACAGGCGTGCGCCACCCCGCCCGGACCAAAGATCTTAATAGATTTCCTTTTTCCGGTGCTGACCTTTTAAATCTTAGACTTTTGCTTCCGGTTTATTTGTACAGAGGGTGAGGTAAATAATTGCATTTTGTGTTTAAGGAATAAGAAGAAAATAAAAGGTTATATGGGATTAGTAATACTTGAGATATTGATTTTACAGTTATCAGAAAGACACTTACAATTTTTTATCTTGACAGTGGCCCTTTGAGAAGTGGATTTTCACAGGGGTATACGAAAGTCATTAGGTTACAGGCACACTGAAGCTGGAAGTAGCTTTATAGATCAGTTCTCTAATTTTACCAATACGTCTTAGAAACTTACCTCTGTCTTTTCATTTTCTGTAAGAGATCCTTCTCATTGTACTGTGCTTGTATATTAGTTTGCTCATCTGGATGGAGAGGCAGGGTGGATCAAATAAGTGAAAGTATACCAAGGTCTTGCCGTAGAAGACCCGTATTAGGCCTAGGCTAGAGCTCCCTGTAGTTGAGGTTTCCCTGATTCAGTTGCTTTTTTCAGTGTACTCTTTCGTTGTACTTCTCTGCTTCCCCAGGAGAGGGAGTCTGGAGGAACAGAAATACCCAAAATCCTCCAGCTCGGTCAACATCTGCTAGCAACCCCCAAATTTACTTATTTCCTCTTCTTAACCTTGATTATCATTTTTAAGTTGAGGTACAATTTCTACATTATATAATACTTCCATTTAAATTGTGCGATTCATTGGGGTTTAGCGTGGTCAGAGGTGTACAGCCATTATCACGATCAATTCTAGAATATTTTCTGTACTCTTTTTTTCCTCATAAGTTTATTGGTACATTTTAGATGTACAGTTACATTCATTATTGGGATCTTGTACCTTTACATGACAGGTCTTGGTTCTCATTTTTTTCCCTTGTCCCTGCCCTCCCATCACCCCCTCTTCCCCTCCCCCTTTACATACACTTCATTTCCATTTTTTCATTTTCTCATATTTTTTTCTTTTCCCTTATTAGCTTTCCCTTACCCTTCCCACTTTCCCCACACCTTTAGCCCCTTTCTTCCTATTTCACATTGTCATTTATATCATTAGGATGTTATGTACTATTATAGTTTATTCACACCAGGGAAACGATTAGGTATTTACACATGTGTGACTTGTTTATTTCACTTAGGAATATATCCTCAACATGTATCCATTTTTTCCTATTAATGAATCTAATTTCTCATTCTTTATGGCTGAGCAGTATTCCATTTTATAGAAAAACCACATCTTCTTTATCCAGTTTCCAACCGATGGGCAGATGGGCTGTGTCCAAGTTTTACCTGTTACAAACTGTGCTGCTATAAACATGGGTGTGCATATATCACTGTGATATGATTCTTTTAATTCTTTTGGAAAGATACCCAGCAGAGGGATGGCTGGGTCAAATGGAACGTCTAGTCCCAGCTCTTTGAGGTAACTCCATATTGATTTCCACAGTGGTTGCACCAGTCTGCACTCCCACCAACAATGGAGAAGGGTTCCTTTCTCCCCACAACCCCTCCAACATTTGTTATTGTTTGATTTCTTGATAGCAGCCATTCTTTGTGGTGTGAGATGGAATCTCAGTGTTGTTTTCACTGAATGACCAGTGATGTGGAACATTTTTTCATATATTTACTTGCTGCTTTTACTTCTTTGTCTGAGAAATTTTTGTTCATTTCAGATACCCATATTTCTGTACTCTTAAGACCCATGCCAATTAGCTGTCACTTCATCCCTCTGCCTTTTTTTTTGAGACAGGGTCTCACTATGTAGTTGAGACTGACCTGGAACTCACTGTGTAGCACAGGCTGGTTTTGAATTCACAGTGATCCTCCTGCCTCAGCTTCCTGAGTGCTGGGATTACAGGCATGTGCCACCACGCCCAGCTCATTTTCCCCTTTTTTCATTCCTGGCAATCACTAATCTTTTTCTCTATGGATTTGCCTATTGATATTTCACAAGTGAAATTATACCGTGTGCATCCTTTTGTGTATTGGTTATTTCACTTAGTATAATTTTTCAGGGTTTATCTGTTCCTTTTATGAATATACTACATTGTGTTTATCTGTTTGTTGTTTGATTTTTTCCCATGTTTAAAGATTAGTAGAAAAGGCTAGATGTACTACTTTTTTATCAGCTTCTGACAGATCTCATTGTCTTCAGTTTATTATTTACAAAAATGTTATTAACTATGAATATTGAGAAAAAATGTCATTCTTTTACACAGGACAGTAATGACACTTCTTTAGATCCATATGACAACACTTAGTTTTCTAGACATTCCTTTGTATATTGCTTTTGAAACCTCATAATAACTAAAGTAACACTGTATCAGTTGTTATCAGGAAGACATATATGATAGCTAATCAGAAATGATAAAATAGGTGTTTAGCTATTCCCTACTTCAGTGTTTTTTTACCGTACTTGCTGCCTATTTTCAAATTAAGTTTTAAAGATGAGAAATGCCAACTTGTTTTCTCTATAGTTTTGTTCCTTTAACAGTTCAGATCATCAAATTAAAGGGTTGTCGTTTCAGAGACAGTTGGGAATTGTTCTTTGTGGCTTTAAGGACAATTAGCTGGAGGAAAGATTTTAAAGAGCATAACAATGAGCTTTATGGTACGTAGAGTTGATGCCAGAGGAATAAGCTGCTTTGGATGGCAAAGACGTTGAGTCTCTTTTGCTGTGTTGTTCAGGCAGAGGCATGGCCGTCTTTTTTTTTTTAAATGTTGAATTAAACCTGTAAGGTTTCCTCCAGTCTTATAGTTATGTAACATAGTGTAGAAACTAAATAGAGCTATGTACAGGGCTGGGGATTTAGCTCAGTGGTTCCTCTGCCTGACTCGCAAGCACAATGACTCAACTTCGACCCCCAATACCCCCCCAAATAGAGCTATGTACAAAGAAATGATAATAAAAGGGATACTTTGCTTTTCGAAAAATTAAAAAAGAAACTAAGTAGAGCTGAAAACTAATTTTGCATTTGTTTTTCTTTCAGCTCCATTTATCTTGAAGAAATTGGACAGTATATGAAGATTGGACATCATATGTGAACATATGATAGAAGAACCTGGTTATAATTTCTTCTGCCTACAAATGAATAGGCTCAGAAAGGTGCAAGAGACTCTGAATGGTCAAAAATTCTACTTGTTAAGGGCTAATTGGGCTCTGGTAACTGATCCTCATAGCTAAAATATAAAACTATTGGGAAGTATGAAAAGATGTCTTGTGGTTATAATGTGCCCTTATGCTGGTGATATTCAGTCTGTATGTAAACATTATAATTGTAAATAATGTCAAACTCCATTCTATCAAGTATTGTAAAAGAATTATCTCTGAAATGTCACTGTCTTGTCAGTCGTTTCTGTTTACATTTTTACTTCTGTCCCAAGTATGTTTGTGATGAGTCCCTTGCAAATAATTACGTTTAATGGGAGTTGGCCCACAACTTCAGTGACATTTAAGTGCAAGACTATTAATCTATATTTTTAATAAAATGCCAGAAAAAAAAAATTTTTTTGGTCCCAGTTTTTGCTGAAACCCAACAGTCATTCATGTGACAGCTTATTATAAGCTGCATCAAGTTGTATTCCTCTCATTTTGGACTTGAGAAATTGCTGATCCTGATCAAGTGGCATTATAGCTTACTGCCAGTCTTCATGAAAGGCAGCATTGCGACTGGTACTGAGTATGTGTAATACCAAAGGTGAAAAATGATGTGTTTTTTAGTAGAGGAGTTATTCATGTTAGTGGGCAGAAGCACATAATCCTCAGAAGAAGCATATAACCTTCCTCTGAGGTAGCACATTTACCTCTTTTTAGCTAATTTTGTCTAGATAACATGATGATATTGTTGCTTCTTGGTTTATTCTGCTTTAGGAAATGCCCTCTGACTTCTCAATATATTACTATCAGAACTTAGGTTTCTTTTTTCCCCTTACGTCCACACACACATTTCTTACCATCTCTTCCAATGTACAGTGTGTTGTACTGAGTGATTTTGATTATATCAATACCATTAGAACTCTTTTTTTTTTTTTTTTTTTTTTTTTTTTGGAACGGATACACCTT